GAGCACGGTCGTGGGAAGACAGTTTATTTCGAGATCTAATACGCCGGCTTTTGGTTTGTTGACACTAATTTGTAAAGAATTTTATGTCGTCTAATCATTTAGCCTAATTAAAAATTTATCTGCATCGTGTATAACTCGCCGCCTTCGAAAGGTGATGATGCCGTGGGATGGCCCGATAATACGAACCGCCGGCGGACATTTCATTACACCAGTGGGAAGGTATACTGTGCGCGTGGACATCCACGGGGAGACCTGTCCCGTGAAATTCGTCGTCCTCAAAAACTGCTCTAGAGACGTCATCCTTGGCATAGACTTCCTCTGTGAGTACGGTGCCGTGATCGACCTTGGAGCAAACAGGCTGACGCTGCGAAAGCCCGCTCTACCTCCCGAGGGATCCAAAACGACGCCTGCCGCCGTCCGAGTCATTGCGGACCACGTGAACCTGTCGCCACGGTCGAGTGTTCTTGTGCTCGTCGTGACCGATGCAGTTGCCAGCGGGAAAGTCCTTCTGGAAGGCAAGAGCCCCCGTCGAGTCAACTACCGGCTGTGCCAAAGACGACGGCGACGAAGATGGTTACTTTTATTGGCGCAGTGAGCATTCACGGTATGGCAGCGCTCCGGCGGGACGATCCTGAGCTGCGCGCACTGATCGACCAGTTGGAGGGACGAGGGGGTACGATTCCCCGAGCTTTCTCACGTGACCTGCCCAGATTCGCCGTCCCGAGAGGTATCCTCTATAAAGGGAACTTCGGGGGCAGCAACTCGACGTGGCTCCTGGAGCTTCCTACTAGTCTTCGAGACGAGGTCTTCCAAGCCTGCCACGACGACCCAACACCTGGTCACGTTGGCTACAGCAGGACTCTTGCATGGATACGAGAAAAATACTACTGGCCCAAGCTCCCGAACACCGTATATACACCTCTACGTCCGTTCGTGCCGCGAATGCCAACGACGCAAGAAACCACCGACGAAGCCGGCAGGTCTCCTGCAACCGATCGCTCCCCCGACTGCACCGTTCCAGCAAATTGGAATATATCTTCTTGGACCTTTCCCACTGTCGACGCAGGGAAACCGTTGGAGAATCGTGGCAACTGATTATCTCACCAGGTACGCCGAGACAAAAGCACTCCCGTCGGGGACCGCCGTGGAAGTAGCCAAGTTCTTCGTTGAGTCTACCGTCCTCCGACACGGCGCTCCCCAAGTCCTGATTACGGACCGAGGTTCCTCGCTCATGGCGCACCTGACACAAGAGATACTCCGCCTGAGCCACACCGACCACCGCCGGACCACGGCATACCACCCGCAGACACACGGGCTGACGGAGCGACTCAACAAGACCATCGCCGACATGATTTCGATGTACGTGGACGTGGAGCACAATATGTGGGATGAAGTGTCGCCCTACGTCACGTTTGCGTACAACACGGCGATTCAAGAAACTACTGGCATTACACCTTTTCAGCTGGTGCACGGCAGAAAGGTGACAACGATGCTCTACGCCATGCTGCCCCATGACCCGACGGACGACGGCACTGACGACGCCCAGCTGGTCACCCAACGGGCAGAAGAGGTACACCAGCTAGCCCGCCTTCGCATAAAGGACCAGCAACGTGTCGACGCTGGCCGGTACAACCTCCGTCGCCGCGACGTGGAGTTCCATCCCGGAGACAGGGTGTGGGTGTGAACGCCCATTCGCCGCCGCTGCCTCAGCGAGAAACTGTTAAAGCGCTATTTTGGACCCTACAAGGTCATTCGCCGCCTTGGGGACTTGAACTACGAGGTGCTCCCCGACGGAACTCGACCATCAGGACGTCGCCAGCCACGACCCGAAGTCGTCCACGTAGTTCGACTCAAGCCGTTCTACGCGCGTTAGGATTGTGACACCGAATGTTTAGTTCGTTTCACCGTAAATTGTTTTAGCCATTTCTGTTTTCCTTTCGCTTTGCATCGGGACGATGCACTTTTAAAAGGGGGGATAATGCCGCCCGCAGGGTCGATAAAGAAACGCTCGGTCACGAAATTCTAGAAGATGCGCGTTCATTCTCGCACCAGACGTAACTTTCCCCTTGCTTTCTTGTTCTCGAAAGTGTCAGTTCATCCTCGCTCCGAGCGCGCGACGCTCGAACTTTCTTTGCCGAACTTTCGAGATAGTGACGCACTGTAGATAAGCAGCTGCCCCCGACCTTGTCGAGTCAGTCTCGCTCGCGCTCTCGGTTTCGCCGCCGAATCGCCGCCTGCTTTTCTGCTGCCTCGACGCTCTTTCATTACTTATTTTTGGTTGGCACAAGTTCGCCCATCAAACCTTTATTTTCAGTTCACTGTTCTGTTTGTTGTCACCTTCATTCGTGACAATATATATTACGAACAGCCCTTGTGAGTTTATTACATAGATTTTTCACAGAGTCATTCCAGACCACGAACGTATTAAATATTATTTTCACTAATTTTACACTTTCTACTATATCTATATTATTTGCACCAAGCGAGAGCACGGTCGTGGGAAGACAGTTTATTTCGGGATCTAATACGCCGGATTTTGTTTTGTTGACACTAATTTGTGAAGAATTTGATGTTAGCGTTCAGAACCCGCAGCTGGTGGGGCAGTCGTTCCGTCGTCACGCCGTCCTTGAGTTTAAGGCGCACTATCCTTGTGTTCGCCTCAACGCCGCTGAAGTTTTCTTCGCGCCAGGTCTCCCTTTCCAGGCGTTCCACCTTCACAAAAGGCTTGAGTGCCTTACGAACGAGGTCGTATGGAACTTCAGCGGGCAGCCGACGAAGCTTCAGTCGCACTTTGGCCCTGTTTGGATCCAGAACAAGGCAACGCCTACCCTTAACTTAGAGCATTTTGCCTCCAGTAGCTTGTGCTTCGAGGCCAAGGAGTGGAATGTGACCACCGAGAAGTGGTTCCTCTGGTACAGTCCACATGCCTTGAGGTCCCGCAGCCCACCTGCGGTCTCGAGTCCTGTTTTGAAGTCCGCAATCATATACGGCCTTCCGGATATGTCACGATGTCACGGTGAAGGAACAGGGCGCTTGAAAAAGCATCGCCTCTTGGCAGGGCAGGCATTACCACCTGATACTCCTAGGACACGTCGCAAGCAAAGAAACCGCGGCCCAAGAGGGCCCTTATATCCGCTTTATCGGAGCAAGCCAGCCTTGCGTCAGTACTCGCCGAGCACCGGACACAGAATTCGCGGGGTAACCATTCGTCCACGCACGCGCTCGCTCGGCTACGCATGCGTGTTGCCGAGCAATATATCCTGACCATTATTGTACGATCGGACGTGTACAATCTGGCGAGTGAACAGCAATGTGCGTGAAGTCAGATCCAGGAGCGACGTCATGAAATGTTTCAATTACGTCAAACTCCTTTGAAATGCATATTGAGTTTTGGCCATGGCGAAGGGACATACCTCCGAATCGGGCAAGATGATGGCACCAGTGACTTCCAAAATGATCGTATAAACTATTAATTTATGAACAGCGAGAGGTCGCCCCGAACCGGTCAGACGATTCACGTTCACAGATGGGCGATGACGTTCCTGAGTTCTAGCAGAGAAATCCAGAGATCAGTGAGGGTGGTGCCATCGATCAATTGGGAAGGAGAAAAACAGTCGTGCCCCTAGTGGCTAAATTGAGAACTACACCGATAAGGACAACAACATAGAATCTTTCCTTGGGTTCTGAGGCAGCGCTCGGCATCTTTGTACACAAACTTTGCGTCCGCGTTCGGCTGGGGCTCGTGTTCAATCAATGAAGTTAAGCGCGGACGCTGCCAAACATTGGGCACCAGTCGTGCCCAATTTTTGTTCCGCGCTCAATCGAGAAAGATGAAGTAAACAATCCAGTGCACGTGCCTTCTGTTGCTAAACACAGAACTCTGGCAAACCGTACGTAGCATACTCCAATAGCTGAGCAGATAGATAGCGGCGGTCTTTGTAGTGCGAAGATTGCAGCTAGTTCATTTTGTATCAATGAGAAGAGACCTGTCTTAGCAGCACCTTCCGTGGCTTGTCATGATACAGCACTGCGCGCATCTCTTGCGTAGTCCCTTGGATTTGTCGTCGACACAAATGAAACGGTATAAAGCCCGAGGTGTCCACGGGGCGCAGGAGCAAAAAGAAATAAAAGAAAATATATATCTGTATAATGACAGTCTCCATAAGCCGTCAGATTTCCGGTAACACGTTATTCGCAAAATTAAAAGGATTAGCAGCATAAAACGTATCACAAACAAATCTTATTTGAAGTTTTTTTCAAAACAACTAGAAAGAAAATTCAACAGAATTTTCACGATATTCATATTCAAACACGTCGATCGCCGCTATCTTATGCAAACAGCAGAATAACGTTATGCTTTCGGAGAACGAACAAGGATACGTATATACATATATTCATGCTAAACATATTACCGATATGCTAAATGTATTACATACAGCCGTAAACGGGGATAAGGGAGCTATTGACCAAACTGACCTGAACACCACAGCCACCTCAGTAATTTGTTTAAGGTCAGTACGCATTCAGGGTCGAGAGTTGGCTTAAAAAATAGTTCAATTAACCGCTTGACCTGACGATATTTCGTATATTCGTCACACTCGAACGTTATTCTGTAGAAACGTTCACAGGGATGCAGTTGCTATACCTTATAGAAGTACTTTTAATCAGTACAATGATCAGCGCCACTCAGCTCCCATGGATTAGCGAAAAAAAGCTACAAACGTCTGTGAAGATACGTCCCCCCCCCCCCCACACACACTCACACTCTCTCTTTCCCCAAATATTGAGCACCAATATTACGGCCTGGTTTCCCACCAAGCTTAGCGCTAAGCGATGTAGGTGTCATTATCTAAACCAAAATTAATTTAAGGTTTTCAACAAAGACCCGTCTTGCCATAAGTGGCGTCGGTGCAAACGGCTCTAGGAGTCAACTAGAGCAGATTATGAAGAGCACGACGACTTCGCACTCTCAAAAACTCATGTTTAAGAAAGATACGCACCATATGGTTTTACGTAGGGAACAAACCCATAATGACGATATGGATTTGTGTCAATGTCTTCAATCTCATACGCCTGCGCTATCAGGTGGCTGGGACCCATTGAATGGAAGATACGCCAGAGTTCTTCCACTGGGCGTAGCAGGAGAATATCGGCGTCCAGGTAAAGCACAGCATCTTCCTTCGGCAGCATGTCCTGTAAAAGAGCCAACACAGGACATAATCTACATTAGACAATCCGGCCATTAAACGTTAAACTAAGTATATATCATCAGCAACGATGTAAAAATATCGGGTACCAATTATTTTTTTTTTATTGAATGCATGGGATTGAGTTAGGAAACATGTAAATATTCCTTTTTGTAACTTTGAGTATTCAAACATACAACCACTTAGGCCATTTTCTTCAAAAGAAAACCCTTTTACGCTGATTTATATCCGAAGCACAGATTGTACTCAGCTAGACACACTAGAAATCAGTACGGAGCGCAATTTCGTCTGCTTCTTTTGCACGGGTTTCGGCAATGTGAGGACGCCGAGCTTTGATTGACACTGACTTAAGGATAGTGGGTAGACCTCAATGCAGCTTGCTTTGAGGTCTACCCACTATCCTTCAATCAGAGCCAATGAGAGCTAGGCGCTATGACGTCACCACAGCACTTGCCCCCCCCCCCCCCCCTTTCCAAGAAAAGACGAAAAAGAAAAAAGCAGACGAACTTGCGCTCCTCATAGACGTAAATAATTATAAGAATGAATGCCAATGGTAGCATTCGTTACGTAAAATATTTGTAATTCATATTTGTTTTTTCACCACAGCTAAAAAAAATGAAATCATTAAGCTTTAGAAATAATACTTTCAGCGGCTCAGTGATTTATTGATCTGGTGAAAAAGATCTAGAAAAACACCAGATGTATATTGATTGTTATACACATAAACGCCATTGATCTTTAGCGCCTTGTTATTTGATGTGATGCTTAGATGTCGATGGCTTTAGAATTTTTACCTTCGACATCTAATGCGCCTTAAAAGTTGCCATCGATGTTTGGTATCGTACAATTTCTGTTCTGCGTAAGCAACGGGCCGAACTTTGTAGATTTGGCATTCCTTGTTTTATAGGAAATCATTCGCCAAGTCTCGAACATGTTTGTTAGTTGCGTTATCTTTGTCTCCCAAATATCACAAGGAGCGGAAAGCTTTCTTTTTCTCACTTTTGTAACCTGCCCGTTGCTAACTACGTAAGCTGTTCTTCGCCGATGGCTTTCATAGTTTTCAACAAAAACAACATCTGTAGAAGAACGCAATGTTCTATCCCCTATCCCGTATTTGTTAGGACGTCCTATTTATCCCCTAAAATTATGCTCAGCCACTTCAATCCTTTTTCTGTCCTTCCCTTCCCCAAAGCCGTGTGCTACTTGCCCCTGATAGAAGGGCCACGTCTTTCACAACTTCTCCCCTTTTCTCTGTATCTCAACACCTTCACTACACTAAACTCCGTTGTTTGTTTGTCGTTCTCTGCGACACAAATTTCCCAATCACAAGTATCTTAACGCACTTAGCAGTGGCTTGTTTTTGGTCCTTCTACAAACGCTTGTACAAGCTTACTAATATAAATTTAGCCCGATACTGTAGCAGCAGGAAGACGTTTCAAGAGTGGTAGCTAGAAAAACAAAGAGGGAGAGACAACGTCTCTAACTCAGGTAGTGATTTTATTTATTCGCCCCCTTACACATCTATCAGTCTATTTAAGGAGTGTATATAAATTGCTGTCACAAGCGTTCCGACCGACTTCTCCTGAGTTAAGAAAACGTGTTCACCAAGGTATGGCAGTGTGAGTTATGAATGAGATATCAATTTAGTTATGGTGTCTGTACAATTATACATAAAAAAATGAACGCAGTGCCTAACGTTACGCCCGACGGAACCAAAAATAACAATTCAAGTTACGTCCGATGTAACCCAATTTGAAAATTAAAGTTGCGTCCGACGGAACTCGAAATAAAAACTAAATTTACGTCCGACGTAACTTTACCCCAAGGTTTCGATCTACGTCCGACGGAACTCGAAATGAAAATGAAAGGTCTGACGGAAATAAAAGATAAAGTTACGTCATTTGTAACATGCGCAACCTTATTGAATGTTACGCTTTACGGCCGATACATGATGTAAACACAAACATATCGTGAATTATTAGTACGTTACGCCCGATACAGCATTCGTTAATTGGTTAAAATTGCGACTACATTTGTACATCCAGGTACAGTAGCCCGTCACAGTTTAAAAAAAAAAAAAGCTTTCTCGCGTTTTTTTTTAAGACATTTTTTTATTTTTAAGACGATTTTTTGCGACGTTTTTTGAGAATCGCAAACGTTCGAAGGCAATTATTACGAGAGATAGAATGGTAACATGAACGTGCTGTTTACAGCAGCGGGGTTTCCGCAGACTTGTTGAAAATTGGAACAACCTTCACGTACCGCTCAAGTCGCCACGCCCACTAGGTTTGGCAGTGTTGTCTTTCAGAGTGTCTTAAATAAAGAGCTGTTTCGAGGGGGCCGCCCGGGTCTGAGAATGACAATAGAGCCTCGGCCTTTAGCCATATAAACCTTGCTCTCAGCCCGAGCCAGCAAGGGCTACAAGCAGGTGAAACAAACGCGGCAAGGATAGCACGAAGTGTTTTCCTATCGAAAACAATTAAATAAATTGTCTTAAAGGAGAGAAAAGAAGAGAAAAATAACGTGCATGTTTGGGGCCACCAGCTTCAGCATCCTCGATGTGCGAGGAACACAATCCAGCCCTCTCAACAAAGCTAAAGGTACGGATAGAGTTGAGATTTTAACCGATTCACGAAGGCTGCACATTCGACGTAACACAGTAATAATTCACAATATTTTGTATTTACGTCATGTATCGGCCTTAAAGCGAAACATACGCGTAGGTTACACCAGACGTAAGTTTAACTTTGATTTCGGGTTCCGTCGGATGTAATTTTACTCTTTATTTCAAGTTCGGTAGGACGTAGCTTTAATTTTTATTTCGAGTTCCGTCGGACGCAACGCTAGAACACTCCGAAAAACGCAAAACGTTTACAAATCTCTGTAATGCGAAACTAAAACACAGCTCTTGAGGAGAAGGAGGGGAGAGTACGGAGGAAAGTGTACGCTCCTCCTTCTCCTTCCCTCCTCCTACTTTCCTCCTCCTCTCCACCTCCCGCTGAATTCGCTCGTGCCTGACGTCACACTAAGTAATGTAACGTCATTTTCCCCGCAAACTTTAGCGGGGAAACTGAATCGGTGTTGATGTCGCGTGACGTCAGTGTCCCCGCTAAATTAATGAGGAAATTTTCGCGCTAAATTTAGCGGGTAAATTGACGTCACGCAACCTCAATATCAATTCAACTTCCCCACTAAATATAGCGGGGAAAATGTCACATGACTTCGTGTCACGTCACCCAAGAACAAATTCAGTTTCTACGCTACATTTAGCGAGAAAATTGACGTCACGTGACCTCAACACCAATTCAATTTTCCGCTAAGTATAGCGGGGTGGTTACGCCGACGGCGACGGCGACGCCGCAAAACGAGGAAACGGACGCTTAAGAGATGCGCTTTAAAACATCGTATTGGTTTAAAACTAGAAGCAGAACAAGAACTTCAGTTACACGCATCTCACTTTAGATTTAAAAAAAAAAAAACGGTCATCGGGAAGTTTGATTTATCAAGGCTGTTTACTCGGCGTTGTTCTCTTTGAATATGAACCAACTGACATAAACCACCGGTTTGCTTCATTTCAGAGTCATAATAGTCAATATTTTGTATCGTTTTTTTTTTTTTATGTTAAGAAATGCAATTATTTATGTTGGCATTGTTGCCCAATGACATAAAAGACAAGAATGATAACATAACGAATTAGCAATTATGCTATTTTATAGCTTTACAAATTTAATTTATTTAATCATGAAACAGATATTGAGGTGCACATTGTAAATATATTATTTTACTTCAAAAATAAAGTTTTGTAACAATCGAATTAGGTTAGATGTGCTCCTGATTGCCACACTACATATTATATTACCGATGTAGATTAAAAGTAAATATAAAAACTGGAGACGTCCGTCAATATAGGGAGATATGTTTGTACCGAAACGACACAAAAATACTTAATTGTATTGGTTGATGATAACAATTAATAATCTAAGAAACAATGCGCTCTTTTTGCGCCTGCTTCCCATGCACAACACAATAATTCTAGATATGATTCGCTTCATGTCACATGATATTGAGAGAAGAAATGTTCATGCTAGAAATGTTTTCCCATTTCTACTATATACTTTAGTTGTTTTTGTTCTTGCGCTATTAATGCGTTTAGATTCATGGAAGCTTAAATAAAATATGCCTAAGTTATTTTTCATTGATCAACATTTATAATAGAAAGGTTCGAGGTGTAAAAGTTCTCAATATTTTAATGGGAGAATATGGCGCGCCTCTGGCAAACTGGGGTGGTTATTCAATTAAAGTAATTTTGTCTATCTAGTTTAATACTTTCAGCAAAAACTGATATTAGTTACATGACTTAATTCAAAATAGAGCAGAAAAAGAACTCATGTTTCGAAAGCTTGTGATAAATATATATCGGGCAAATTCTGCACAATGACAGGACTAAAACCAAATACCGTGGAAGCCAATACTGGCCACTCCCGCCGAAAACGGGCGAAAGGTGATTGCAGCGCCCCTGGCGAGCTCGGAGTCTCCGCTAGCAGACAAATTCTCCAAAATGCATTGGTGTTGCCTATCTCCGTGCGAGGTAACCAACGAAGAAAAATTGTCACGGACATTTGCTGCTTTGAAAGTTAAAGAATGGGTGCCAGCTCATGAGTGAAGGATATTCTCTTCGCGTGGGAAAGATGTTACAGCTTTCTGGGTGCAATTTCGGAGTTCTCTCGAAAAAAGCATTCTGTCACAACTTATGTAAGCCAAGCAAAACACGAATGTATGCCTTCGCGCTGTTTCGTGAGAAAGGGCAATGTACAAACATTTCAGAACATAGCTTCGTTTCAACTTTATTGTTCTTATCAGTCAATTCGTTTTGTTGTTGCAATTCCCATTTCTCATGCATGTCTTTCTTATAACCGTTTCGTCGAACAGGCGAGCTGGCTAATCCCGTTAAGATCGTCTCCGGATGAAGAAGCAGAAGTCAATTTC